TTCAAAGGGTTGCAGTGTTTCAGTCCCATGAGTCCACACAGCAATGACCCCCTTAGAAGGTGTCAAAGGTTGGAGCTGATATCTTGTACATGCCGTATATCACAGAAGTGAGTACACCCCCTCACATTCCATAAATATTTTAGTATATCTTTTCATGTGACAACACTGAGGAAATGACATGGCTACAATGTAACGCAGTGAGTATATAGCTTGTATAACAATGTAAATGAGTTGTCCCCTCAAAAGAATGCAACACACAGCCATTAATGTTGCCAATGGTTTAGACATTAATTTCTATATGTTGTGTTATTCTGAGAGGACAGCACATTTACACTGTTATACAAACTGTATACTCACTGTTTTACATTGTAGCCAAGTGTCATTTCCTCAGTGTTGTCACCTGAAAAAATATACTAAAATATCTATGAAATGTGAGGGGCTGTACTCACTTCTGTGACATACTGTACAAAACATATGTTCTAGCTGGGCGCAAGATGGTAGCATGTTAAACTTTTACATTGTCCCGGTTTCATTTCCATTTGATTGCTGAGCACAGAAGAAAAATATCATCTAGTTCAGTGATTCCCATCCTTGTGTCGCCTAGTGGTGAAGGTTTATGGGAGTTTTAGCCCAAGAACATCTGGGTATCCAAGGTTGGCAACCACTAGTCTAGTCTAACGGTTTGCCAACTTTTATCTCCAGACATGATTAGTTCCCGGAAACCCCGGTCACCATGGCCACCGGTGAAGGATTCTGGTACCTGATGCCCAGCAGTATCCAGCGACTCAAGTTTAAGAACCACTGTTTATTGCTGACTGTATTGCTATTCACATTGTTTAGTCTTAATCTGTGTTTGCATTTGCCTTGATTCATAGGCCTACTGATTATTCAGCACATGGAGTACTGATTGTCTGTACATATACTAAAGAAAGCATTTTTAGTGCTGTGCCTTCCAATCCCCCTAAAAAAAACCCTGAAAGAAATAAATGAAGAGGAAAATGCCTTGAACAAATGCAGGAGCTGCAACTGGAAACCAGAGCAAATATTGACTTGCTTGCTTTCTGTTTATGCATATGCCCACACATTTATCTTCCCTGTAATAACACATGTGCATTGACATCCAGAATTATTGTTTTGCCTTCCTCTGTCTGAACCATTTCTGAAGTGTATGTAGAAAAGAGATGCACAGTTAATATGCAGAGACAGCCCAGAGCATGCAAGTTAATGGCTATGTAGCAAAAGTGATATGAATTGACTAAATTATGCTTTTCAAATAATCTCGGGTTCCATTTGTTAAGTAGTTGTGTTTTAATGAGTATGTTTACAATTCATTAATATTATAGAGATAGTATTATTGTGAGAGTTTTGTTTTTGGTTGTAGTTTTTTTAAGCCTTTAGACTTATATTAGTAGTTTAAGCTGCATGATCTTAATGGGAAGCTACTGGAGGGGAAGTTGCCATTCCAGAAATGGATGAAGTCAGAGTCCCAAGTGGTCTGAGCCAGAGCAAGGTGTGCATATTTTTATTTCATTGATTGATTGGTTGATTGATTGATTGATGGCTTGTTATAAAATAAGATCTAAGTGGCATAGAACAAATAAAATGACAAAAGACATCAATATCTTAGAACAGCATATAGTATGAAAATTGGTGAGGGTGTGTGGCGCTTGTGCAATTAAGTGTTTCTTCAGCTGGCATTTAAAACACACAAGAGGTGCTGCCTCTTAAGGTTCTGTAATGGAAAAATCTCACTGCTGGAGGACAGATAGCTGGCTGCAGCTCTGAAAGCATACACCACACATGTGCACAATATGAAACCATATACTTATACATTGGCACAATAGGGAGGGAGGGTTAATCCCATTTACCATCTTCCTCACTGCAGTCACATTTTCCACTCCAGTCAACAAAAGAGCTGTTTGTTAGGGATGGTACCAGTTGACAGCCCCAGGGGATTTGAGCCCACAGTTCATCTCAGTGGTAGTCAGCACTAGCCTCTGAATTTTGAAGCCCGGAGAAGTGAGGACCAGTATCACCACCATGAGGGCAAGGCTCACAATGTTACAGGGGCCCTGTTCCTTGGCCCACAAATCCCTCCATCTCCCACTGCAGTTCCATTCCCAGTGCCGCAGTTGCATCTCCTCCTTGGGTCTCTGGAGTGGTTTGGGTTGTTTCTTCCCTCCTCCCCCCCGAGTAAATTAGGGTGATGGGTCAAGTAAAGATACTAACATTTAGATCCATCACCTTTTGGGACCTGTAACTTCACTAACTCCCCCATCCAAGGATCCTTATTGATTACATGGTCCCAGTCCTGGGGAGGGACTGGGGTCTCAGCATCTGCCTCCTCAACTTAATTCATCTCCCCCAGTTCCTTTGCAATGTCCTTGCTCTTCCTCCTTTCCCTCCTCAATTTTTTGTTTGTTTGGAGACTCTACTGTAACTCCCTTTGGTTCCATCTGCCCTCCCACCTCTACCAGCATGACTTACATAGCGGCCAGTCCCCAGCATCCTCTTGAGGTTGGATCCTTCTCCCGAGGGCACTTTTCTGCCAGCCGCCCTGGTGTGAGTCATGGCTCTCTATCCCCTGCTTTGGTGGGTATGGTCTCCATTTGTGTTGCAGATTCCGAGGGCCCCAATGAAATGGCAGGCATCTCCTCTAGTGGTGGTTCTGACCTTGCCTTTATTTGCATTGCACAGTCCTTAGCTGTGAGGCTTTGAAGCACTGTCTCCCCCAGCAAGGCAAGCATGTTGTTCTCCTGGGACCCTAACCCAGGTTTAGATGGCCTGCTGGAGGCATTTCTGCCAACCTCTCTCTCATAGGGGGCTACGGTTACAACAGTTCTTAGCTATTCTGACCTCTGTAGCCATTGCTGCTGCTCAGACTAGAGGAAACAAATAGCATATTGCTGGATCCATTCACACTCAAAGCTATTCTGCCGAGAAAGCTTGGCTTAGGGAGGGGTCTGTGCAAATCACCTCCAGTTTCAAATTGTTTTAAATGTTAAATTTCTGAAACCAGATTGTCCACATGGACTGGAAATCAATACAAGAAAGAGTCTTATAGCACCTTTAAGAGTAGCACATGTTATTTGACCTGAGTTTTTATGGGCACAGACACTTACTTTAATGCATGGAGCACAACATTCAAGTTGCAGACATCACATTTATCCTTATGAGGTGGAATATAAGCCGGTGGCTTGAATATTGTGTTCCTTGCATCTGAAAAAGTTGTGGAACTTTAAGACAATTTCTTCAGATGCACAGTATTCAAGCCACAGGCTTATATTCCACTCCATAAAGATAAATGTGATGCCTGTAACTTGAATATTGTTCTCCATGCATTAGAGTAAGTGGACTGTGCCCATAAAAACTCAGGCCAAATAACAGAGAGGCCAAGACTTTCTGCTGGTTTTGCTAAAACAGGCTAATAGGGCTGTACCTCCCCATCCCCAAGGCAATAATTTTTGATTATGTGACTTTCATATGGAGGGATCTGTGTGTTAATAATTGAGTGCTGTGATCTGAACAGTTGCACAGGACAGGGTGTAGGGGGAAAATATTTTTGTGAAAGCTCATTCATTCTACTTTCTCCAGTGGCTTCTGAGGTAGTAGTGTTCTATAGAGGTCTATGTGAAACTGAGAGAAGAATTATTGGTTCTTCACCTCTCTGTAAAGCTGGCATTGTTGGTAGTGAACAGGTGTGCGTTTTTCCTCTAAAACTGGGTATCAAATGTGTTAAACTCTACTTGTCCTTCCTGACAGGTGGATTGTGGGATTTGTAATCTGCTTGGGGGGAAAAAGTGCCAGATGGGGACAGCAATTTTAAAACGACAACAAGAGCACAAAATGGAAGAGCCAGTAGCAAATGTTCCCCTGGGGTCAAGAGTGAAGAAATGCTGTAAATCTGACAGTTTATTTCATAACGAATGGTTTGAGTAATGAGTTAGTGCTGCTGATGCAATGAATTAAACATTTTGGTCAAGATTCTTTTGGGACAATGATGTACAAAGGGGCAATTGGGGGGTGTTTTTCCCGTTGTCACTTGCTGTCCATCAAACAACTAAGCATATGAGTGAGTGTGCATCTTTTTTCTTGACTTGAGGCAGCCGTTGAACACGGTGGCCAGCTGGCAGCATAAGTCGGCTTGCTTGATAATGGCCTACTTACTCTGCACAGGACAAATAAAATGTGAGCCTTCTGAATATTAACAACAACACATGAATATTCCAGTTTCTAATGTTTAATGCTAACGAATTAATGTTTAAGCCCACTGTCCCAAGCTTTGATTATTGTTCCAGCTACTTGCCAGTTTTGTCCTTCTCTACAAAACCTGATTTCACACACAGGCCTGGATATACATACATGGTTGAGATTTAATGGCTTTATTTTTTGCAGTGAGTCTGGGTATTTTTCTCCATACATTAAGTGCCATTAGTGTGTTCCTTGTTTTCAACAAACTGAATTTCTCATTTGCATTATTGTTCATCCAGAGACTTTAGCTAGTGTCTTGAGATCTGGCAAACCTACTCAGTACTGACTATGTCTGAGCTCAAAAAAATACACTGGAAGATTCTGGGTGTTGTAGTTAAGAAGAGTAACTTTTCCATAGTCTTTGCTTATGCTAGTTTGTGCCAGGAACTTAGTCTGATAACCTCTGGAGGACTACATATTTCTCATCCAGCTTTAAAAGGATGTATAAGAAAATGATACCCAATGTAATATACAGTGATTACACCAGTGTGGTATGACAGATAGAGTGATGAACTAGGACTTGGGCAAACCTGGGTTCAAATCCCTACTCAGCCATGAAAACTCACTGAAGGGAGACAGTAGTGGTAAAACCACTCCTTAAATATCTCACTTATCTGGAAAGCCATGAATCAGTTCCAACTTGATAGCATGAAACACTTGAGATAAATGAAAGCAACCAAGAATCTCTCAACTTTCCCCACCACCCAGTGCGTAACTCCATGACCTCTTTTCTGCTTTCCCTTTTCCAGGACTGTTCTGTTTACTTTGACCTCGGTGGTTGTTCTTGTCATCACAACTGACTGGATCAGCTGGGACAAGCTGAATCGTGGATTTCTGCCAAGCGATGAGGTTTCAAGAGCTTTTCTGGCTTCCTTCATCTTAGTGTTTGACCTTCTTATTGTCATGCAGGTACTTTGTCCCAATATTTCTCCCAGAGTGCTGAAGTGGCTTTTCTCTTGCTAGATTTCCACTCTGGCATGTGCTGTTCAGCCAAGACTTTCAGAAGTCAAATTAAATGTTTGTTTTGCAATCTCTATTAATAGTCTTACATTACGTCAGTGTTCTCGGGGAAACTGTTTCAAAAGCCAAGTGGCCTTTTGAAAGATTTTTCATTTTTAAAGAACCCTTTCTGATTTTCTCAGCTTTATTTTGCCAGGTAACTGTCTGGCGACTTGTCAGATGGAGGTTGTTGTTTGCCCACATGGCACAGAGAGGGGGGAAAGGAGAAATAAATAACTTAAGGGTAAGTCATTTTGTAATGAAGAGGCTCCATTGTAAAGCTGAGGTAACATAATGAAGCAAGCTTCGCAGCATTTAAAATGTACAATATGTGGTTACCACACACCACAGAGTGACAGCCATTCTCTGTAGGCTGCCTTTCTCTCTACCTTTACAGTAACATATTATCACCCTAACTGATGTGTCAGATTTCTCCTCACCAACCACTGTTTCTAAGGAGATAATTCTTTGTTCACCAACTAGTCTTTGCTCTTTTGGTACTTCATTAACAAAATGGATGCCCTACATGCAAATTAAGATAGGCCAAAGAGTTCTTCATGTGGCATTTCAGCTACAACTTGAATATCTTTTTTTAGAAAATAGAAAATGTTATGTTCTGGTAGGCAAAATAAGAATGTCTTGTTATAACAATAAGAGTTTTATGTAGTTGTTGTTCTCATGTTCTTTTTTTAGATCACTGGCTACCTTTAGACTAGGTTGGAATTGCTCCCCCTGTGGTTTTTTTTTTAATTTTTCCATGGTAACCTTTCTGTTGTTGTTGCCCTTATTTGTAAAGGTGTTGGCAATTTGTACTGAAAATTTATCACATGTGAATGTCAATCTTTGTAGTTCAATGCAATGGGGAAAAAGTTTCCTTCCGGAAGAATTTCAAGGGAGGAGAAATTTCACAGAAATTCTCATGGGTTTTGTTTGGGATTCTTAATAAAAATTTAGCTCAGGGGAGAGCAGGCACATCTTGTCTTTCATTGTATATTCATCTCTGTTGCAACTGGCAGCCCCCACAGCTTCCCAGGGGTAAATGTCATGAAGTTAGTCCTTCCACAGTGCTTTTTAAAGTCAGGAAGCATGGGCTGCTAGGGAACCTGCACAGTGATAATGAAATGAGTAATAGAAATAAAAAAACAAAGGAACATCCACAGCCACCTTGAATTATTATCAGAAATTTTTAAAAAATCAAAACAAGTTCTAAATGTCTGTGAAAATAAGACTGAAAAATGGGAATGTCCTTCATGGGGAATTAATATTTGGAGGGAAAAATAATGACACAGTATTAGACTAACGTTTCTTTTGCAATTGGTCATAGCACCACCTTCTAGTATAGAGTTTACAGGAAAGGAATTATAGAGTCTTTGTTTCTAAAATATGACCAATAGAAAAAAGCCATGTGGTCTTTGTATCTAAGCCAAAAACAAGGATGAATGACACCTTTGGTAGATATTTGTGTGAGAACCTGGAGAGACTGTACCATCTGGAGAAGGATTCAACAGTTCTGAACAAGATGGACAAATATTCTGCCTGGAATAAAGTCATTTCTGATATCCTGTCAAAGAAGAGAGGAGTCAAGGATGTGATTCTCTTGCAAACATCTTGTATTTGCATGCACAAGAGAATAAAGGAAGCCTGGGCAACTTGCAACTCCCCACTTTCTATTAGACTACAGCTTCTGGCCTCCCTAGACAATATACCTGTTTTAAAGGATCATGGGAATGTTAGTATAGCAACATCTAGACTACCAAAACTTTGAATAAAGGGATGAGACACCAATTTTGTCATCATCATCCTTTATTCATGTTCATACATGCAAGTCATTGTATTTGCAATTCATCTCATTAAACCTAGGAGTATTTCTTATAGCCATCAACATTGTTTAGAAAACTGCCTCTTGTCCATTCCTTCTGTTATGGCAGAACATGCACAATCCCTCCTTCTCTAACTATAGATACTTACCAGTTGTGGTGCAGTGTGGTCCATACTGAGCAGATTGATTGGGGGGTGGGGGACACAACTGTATGGATAGTTTAAAGGAGGGCAACCATAGTCCTTCAGATGCAGCTTCCATAGTCCTTCACTGTGGGTGATCAGGAACAAAGGAAAGCAATTAGCCTTGGAAAGAACAAAGGAGTCGACAAGCCAGCAGAGCCTCAAGGCAATGCCCTGAGAACTCTTTTTATTAACTTAGCATGATTACATAATATGTTAGGATAATCATAACCAGGATTGGCTGAGGAAACTCTTTGATCTAATGCTCCACCTCTAAGCGAAAGGGCAGAATGAGGAGTTACCCCGCCCACTGGCAGCTTCCACTTCCTGCCAGGAGTGTGTGCACGTCACTGGAACAGAATGCAGCTACAACCTTTACGCAGAAGTTTCCCACACTTCACCATTGCCAGTGCCAATGGGGCCAATGAGAAATTGTAAGTCTAAAACATATGCGTGGCCACAGCTGGCCATCCCTGGATGAAGAGGTCAAATTTTGTGGCTTTTCTATCAGTTTCAACTCTGATGATTTCCTGTTCTCCCCCCTCCAGCCCAATGACAACACAAAAAGTGATGTAAAGTGTTGTTGTTAAAACAGGTAGAAATCTGACAATAAAACATTTACCACCCAAACTTGGGATGAATGAGGAAAATTGTAAAGACATGAGCTTCATTTCTGAAACTTTGTGCTGTAATCTCCTTTTTCTTTAAAAAAAATCTTCCACTTTCACAATGTGTTTAATGATATACAAGGAAATTTCTGATAAATGAATCCACTCCCATGAGGCTGCAGGGAGAAGCATGAATAAGAATAGCCCATGCATTATCCTATGTAGCACTGAATATCATTATACTGGAGACACAGGATGCTATTGTCCGCTTCCTCCATTATTACTAAATCATTCTTTTTGACTATGAAAGATGAAGTCACCACAAAATGACCTTGAGCATTTTAAGCTAAGAGGGAAACTTCGTTTGAAAATCCTTGGCCTCGATACTTTTCAGGTATATATGTGTGATTTTTTATTATTATTCTTTGCACTGTGCAGAATAAGTCTTATATTTAATTGCATTTTTGAATGATGTTTGCAAAGCAGAGTGCTTATTTACTTAGATATGTTTATTGAGGATGCACAACTAAGATGACTCAACTTATTTACAAGGTGGCTTTGGCACCAGTGAATTGCCATTGCAGTAGAATCGGTTTGATTTGGGCTGATGCTAAGTTACGGATAACAAATAAATGATCTTTTTTAGGAAACAGAGATTAGCCAACCTTGGAAAATACATGAAGAAGGTTTTCAGTTATTATTCCAAGGTCTTTCCAGACAAGTTAGTTACTATTGCAGTTACAATGTTATAAATAATTATTTCCTAATAACTATTTCACAAAAGTTCCTTAAGTAATTATTTGTTTTTTACATGAACCATATGATATTCCTCCTACACTTTTATGAGAGGTCATGCTCCATAATGACAAGAAGAGGTAAAAAGTTCTAATCACACTGCAAAAGAGTTATGAAATGGAGTTTTACTTCTTACTGTGAAAATGAATTAATCACATATAAAAGTTATTATTTCTTCCAAAGCTTTGCTAGCTTTGCCTGTGGAACACCTGTATAAGCTCTAGTTCATGGTACTAGGTTACTCACTTTGTGAATATAGGATAGTTTTTATGTTATTTCCTCCATATTAAGTTTTGTTTTTTCTCTTGTGTATTGAATTTTAGTAAAAGAAAAATAATGGTGGGTGTGAAAGCGACTCATTACTGAAGATAGACAAGTGCACCATGAAAATTTCCTTATTAGAAATTGTTAGGTTTGCTTGTTTTTTCATAGCAGTGTTCGATATGTCATTTTTCAACTCTAAATGAAACTTGCAGGGCAATGGTAGAATAGCATTAACATTTTAATGCAACATGTTGCATGAGGCAAAGGAGTACATAAAAGAAAGTTTAGTAGCTTTTGAAAGCCAGAGAGATGGAGATCTGTATATGCATTGTCCACACATGCACACATATGCACACACCAGGAACTCAAATTCAATTCTGTTGGATCTGTTCCAAAGCCTTTTCTAAGATCATGGCCACTGGTCCCATCACCTCCTGGCAAATAGAAGGGGAAGATATGGAGGCAGTGACAGATTTTGCTTTCTTGGGCTCCATGATGACTGCAAATTGTGACAGCCGCCACGAAATTAAAAGACACCTGCTTCTTGGGAGGAAAGCGATGACAAATCTAGACAGCATCTTAAATACCAGAGACATCACCTTGCCAACAAAAGTCAGCATAGTCAAAGCTATGGTTTTTCCATTAGTGATGTATGGAAGTGAGAGCTGGACCATAAAGAGGGCAGACTGCCGAAGAATTGATGCTTTTGAATTGTGGAGCTGGAGGAGGCTCTTGAGAGTCCCCTGGACTGCAAGGAGAACAAACCTATCCATTCTGAAGGAAATCAACCCTGAGTGCTCACTGGAAGGAGAGATCATGGAGTTGAGGCTCCAATACTTTGGCCATCTCATAAGAAGAGAAGACTCCCTAGAAAAGACCTTGATGTTAGGAAAGTGTGAGGGCAAGAGGAGGAGGGGATGACTGAGGACAAGATGGTTGGACAGTGTCATCAAAGCTACCAACATGAATTTGACCCAACTCTGGGAGGCGGTGGAAGACAGGAGGGCCTGGCGTGCTCTGGTCCATGGGGTCACAAAGAGTCGGACACGACTAAATGACTAAACAACAACAAATTTTGTTACCACAGGAGCTAACTAGTGGTTATACCTGGCAAAAGATCAGGACTATCCTTCCATTTGTTTCCTCCAGCAAACAGGTTTTCAGGGCATTTTGGCTCTGATATTGGTGGTCATATATAGCTACTACTAGATCCTTTTTATATATTGAAATTAATATTGGAAT